TTTTGAAAAACTTTAAATTACACAATTACACAATTTTTGGAATTAATTTTGGGTAGAGAAATTCGTTCAAACTAATTACAGATCTGAAATTAATCTATCTTTAAATTAATTTGTAATCTCAAATTTGGTTGAAGTGTTTAAATAAAATTAATTTCTGTTAATTTCTGCTTGTAAATTAGTTCAAATAAATTTCTGTTAACAATTGTGGTTTTAAATTTGATCAGAAATCCGACATCGTACAAAGTTTAACATAATCTCGTGTACGTAACAACATACTGTTAAGGTTACAGTTTCTGTCACAGAATCGTATACTGATCGTTTTCGTTTTGTGGGAAAATTTTCAGTTCATATGATCAACTATTTCATCACCTATACGTAGCTCTGTGGCTGAGTTACTTATTTTTAATCCCGATGAAAAGTAGTCTCTTGTAGTCTACATGGTTAAGAGCCAACGACTAAAAATGGCGTCCTCACATACTCTTTAAGGCAGATCCTAAATGAGTGTCCGCCATTTAGCGTAGCGAGTTTCTTAGTGATAGAAGAAAAATAGCATAAGAAAGCTCTGATCCGTTTTAAACAGCCTAAACTTCCGTTAGAGAGATATTTAAGTCGGGAGGATTGCATTTCTTGTCTAGTCAAGATAAGTGACAGATAAGCGTCACCGCCCATTGGAATTTTTAAATAATTTCTAATTAATGGGATATCCTGTCTTCATAAATCCAGTTTCATAAACTACACATTTATGAAACTTGCAAAAAGTTTCATAAAATTTAGGAAACTTGGATGCTGATTTTTTTAACCCACAAGTTACATAAAAATGAGAAATTTTATGAAACTTGTAAAAATTTTCATAAAATTTTGATTTATGAAACTGGATTTATGAAAACAGGATAATCCTAATTAATTTAAACTAATTTCTTATCCAAAAACGATGAAAAATGACTTCACGTCAATTTAAGCGGCCCAAATTAATTTAAATTCATTTGAAATAAATTAATTTATATCAATTTCAGCAGTTAAAATTAACTAAAATTAATTTCTAGCCAAAAATTAACTCCAGTTAGTTTGAAAAAACATTAATTTAAATTATCTTTAAATAAATTAGTTATTTTTTTGCTACCTCATAAACAGATAAAACGGTAAGAAATGTTTTGGTCTTTTGTTCGTTCAGATTAGTGACACTATATTTTTGCACTCCGGAGTGAACTGGACTGGAAGTTCACGCTGCGGGTTAGTGGAGTATGGAGTACGGTGTGTCTCCCTTGTGTTTGGTCAGTCACCTCGCTTGGATTCTGAATTTTGGAAACTTGTTGACTAAAATAATATTGTTGATAAAGATGATTTACATGTAACTTTTAGTATTCAAACGGATTTTGTTGCGCGATTCGAACAAGACCTTATAATGTATTTAATTCTAGTTTTTATAAAAACTGCAATTAAGTCTTAATATTTCAGGTGTAAAACTGAATTTTGGGAAGATGTTTAACGGTCATAGAAATCGGTTACAAAATATGCCTCTTTATCTGGCTTCTGGCGCCTTCCATTGTATAAGTAAATATCGCAAATTGGTATTTATTACCTCATATAGTAAACTCATGGAAAGAATGACATCTGCTAGACTTTGAAATTCTGTATCTGTTCATATTAAAAAAATAATTTTTCTTTGTGAATTTTTGCAAAACACCGCCGCCAAAAATCTTATTGATCGAAGATGTTTTTCAATATTTTGAGTGTTCGAACAAATAAATCTATAGGAACAAACATACCATCAGATACACCGAGAAATTCTGCATCTTCTATTAGTTGAACCAAATTTTAACACTTATCTAACTGAAACAAATATTTGTTTTCAAAACTTTCTAATTAGTCAATTAAGCAACCTTGTTTTTTACAACTTTCAGCATTTGTAGTGCTTTAGAGAAACGGCAAATAATTATATCTAAAGGAATATATGACTAAAATCTACGCAAAATTCTCTATCTTTCAGAATCTAAAGAAGATTTTTTGATCAACCTGAGATAAAAGCTTTGCAAAGGCCGACAGTTTAATCTGGGTCACCAGCTGATTGGTCTGTTATCACAAAATTTTACTACAGCAGGTTTTACTTCCACATCGGTTATAAATAACTCATTCATAAAGGATCTGATTTCTTTCGATTCATCAGCAATAAATGAACATAATTCAAAGAGAAATAGAAATAATTTACTCGATTGTCTTCAAGATGTTGATTCGCTTTTTAAATATTCTAACACCGACTTGGCTTCTTCATCTTCAACTGTATCTTAGCCTCGTATGCAATCAGGAAAAACTATTTTAGATGAAATTAACTCTCCAACTTTTCTTTCATAGTCAGGTATTTATGTTCTGGCTTCTCAGCCAAGCACTTCTTCGTTTGATCCTGATTTATGCTGTAACACAAGCATCTAGTAATTCATTATCAGTTTTAACCAACCCTAATATTTGTACATGTTCTTCATCACGTCATGATCTTATATGTAAAACTGCTACCGATATTACTTAAATACCGCAAATAAAACGATGAAATTTCATCATGATTATTTAAATAATTTAACAGAAAAGTTTAATTGTGTAGACGTTCAAATTCATATAGTCGATCGTACAAATACAGACGCAAAACTTTTACCTTGTTTAATCATTGAAAAAACTCAAAACAATATCGTTTAATATGTCTAATACATCACAACTATCAAATTCAATGGCATCAGGAAACCATTGTTCTTTCAATTGTAGAAAATCATCTCTTGTTTGTTTAATTGCCAATACGATAAACTACAGAATGCATTCTCAACTGAAAATCTTGTAGATTTAAAATACGCTTATCCATAAAAATTAAAACAATTTGATGTTGATGAATTCAAAGATATTTCGTTTGTCGAAGCATGTCATTTTCATCATGTGACGAAAGTACTGTGAAACAATCATACCTTCTAATAATGTTTTTTGTTTCTTTTTGTTCCCATGCAAAGTGACATCACTGTACTTAAAATTTAAATTACATTATATAACCAAGTAAGTAAACAAATGGTTCTTCCCCTCATTATATACAGTATAAATAGAATGAATAAAAACCAAGCGTTGCACAAAAAGAAAATGAATCAACCGATTGAACTATTTATCACTGGTGCATGCGCCGAGGGTCAAGGTTATTGTCGACAACTCGGTGGTAATGATATTGGTCCAGATATTGATTGTATGTTTACACTTGGTACATTAAATTCTGAAGATGAATTAATTTCAGTTGAAAAATGTCCTCTCTTTGTTCGTGTAAAATGGAACAATACATCATTAGCATCATTACCACATAGCGATGATAAACAATATGTAAATGCTTTTAAAATGAAACAAAACTATTCAAAGTTTGTAAAGAATAATTTTCAAAATCAATTATTTAGAACACAATCAATTGTTGAAACATCATCTCAGTCAGCTGCAGTAAAAATGCGTGTCGGCGGAATAAGAGAAAATTTTGATCAAAATAGTTATTCACAGAGTTTTAAAGAAGCATTGGACACAATAAAAGAAAATCGAAAAGATATAAATTTTATGATAACATTAAAAGAAAATTTTAGGATTTATTATCAATATTCGTTAGATTCAGATGATATTCTGGGACCGATATGGCATGATGTGTATGCTCCTGATCGTCCGGAACTAAGTGAGAATAACATATCTATACATCTAACAACTCCGGCATTTAATATACCATTAGCATTCGATTACAAACAAAAAATAAGAGCATTAATTCAATTTTACAAAAAACATAAACATTTAAGTCATCCTAATTTACTTTCTAATACGTTTGAAATAATTAATTCAATACCGGAGCTGGATTTCGACTTGGTCCCAGCATTAGAATTAAAATTTTGGCCAAAAAATATAAAGCCATTTTTAAACCGTCTAAGACAAAATCGTCCCGATTTATATGATAAAATCTGTAAAACGCGTATGCACTTGGTGACAAAAGCATCACCAATATCATCAGATAATAATAAAGAATTTGATTTTAGATATTCATTTTCAGCAATTGAATTAATATTAGCTGAGGGACGAACAAGAAATGAAAAATTATTAAATAGTGTCGCTAAGAGTATCTATTATAAATATTTATATAAAAAAACGGCATCCCAAGAAGATAAAGAACAATATATTCCATCATATTTTGTTAAGACAACAATATTTTGGATGTGTGAACAAAAACATTATGAGTTGAATAAAATCGATGGAACAAACGATGAAGAAATTGAGAAGAAATTGGCACTAGAATGGATTCAATATACCTCCAAATTATTATGGAATGGTGTAGTAAAACATTATTTTTTAGAAGAAGTTAATATTCTCGATTCATATCCGATTGATTCAGTAACCATTGCTTGGGATATACTAAAAAATGGAATTGATTTAGATAATCGAGCATTCATATCAGCAACAGAAAAAGTTCGTGATGGACTACTAAAACTTAAATGTGAGCAATATGTTGAACATCAACGTTTCAAGAAAAATTTATCTATAATTGATATTAAACAAGCAAGAGATGATTTTCTACAATTGAAAGAACAATGGTTTCCTGATGCTATTAAATTTGATAGTTGTGATGTATTAGACGTATTAAACGATATTGCTTTATTTGACGATAATGGTAATGATGATGATACATGGTCAACATGGGAAGTATTAATTTGCGATTATGATAATTTAGAAATATCACCATTATCATATGAAATTTCTAATTGTGATCCAGCAAGTTTAGCTTATGAATTATGTGAATCAGCATTTATTTTAAAAAATATAATTGATTTAGTATCCAATGTTGATTATATAAATGAAATAAGATTATTTAACAAAGAAGAATTTAAAAAATATATACCTTCATATTATAATAATTTAAATTTAATGAAATTAGTATCTCAAAATCATATTACAGAAGATTCAATTTCAAAAATGTTATTATTAATGCAACCGACCGCAGCAGAAAATTATTTATCAGTAGAAAAACGATCTGTATTACAAGCACATCCAGATGGTCCTCAACCACTTCAATCATCCCAACTAATGTGGAGAAATATCTTTACTGATCTGACTGATACATTGAAAAAGAAATGTAATTATACATGTTCCATTGATTATTTAACTATGTTCAACGATAATCGTCAACCGATACAAGAGGAAATTACAGCCAAATACTTAGAAATTGCATTTGATGCTATACAATATATGTCACTTGAAACATTTTCTAATGCAATTAAGCCACAACTACATACACCTGTTATGCCAACAGGTATACCTCCATTACCAGAAACTTTTGAATTAAGTGAAGCAACCTGTCAATTAATAGCTGGAAAAGCGATCATAAAGTCGTTCATGGAATTGCATTCAGAGCGAATGCTGTTCGATCTTATCGACCTAGTTGATAATTTGAAAACAAAATGTAATTATATATCACCAATTGATTACTCAAGCAGATTCAATCATAAACTTCAGATGACATACGACGAATATACAGAAGTATATTCTGAAATTACATTCGATGCTATGCAGCATATACCATATGATATACTTTTTAATGCTATTATGTCTAAAAATGATATATTAAAACATAATATGATGAAAAGTCAATCTACAACTCGAGATTTAAAAACAGAAAACCTTTCAAATCCACCAATAATATCATCGTCTCGAAAACTCTATTATTTATCTGTACCACGAGATCATTCATGTTGTTTTACAAGTTTATATTTTCTATTAGTTTCTTCGACAGATTATGAATTTCTTTCTAATCAAGCTTATCGTGCTATACGTGTACAAGAATTAAGAGATACCATAGCACAAATAATTGAAGAAGATCCAAATAGATATACAGATGTCATATTAGATAAATCACCGATAGATTACTGTCAATGGTTGCGTCGTTCAGATAGCTGGGGTGGTGATATTGAATTATCTATATGTTCTATTTTATATTCAGTTGAAATTTGTGTAATCAATCTACATTTACAAAGCCCAAATGCTGTCATTATCCGTATAGGAGAAAATTTTCAGTCTCCAACAAGAATATTCTTAACTTACGATGGTACACACTATAATCCAGTATTTACCCTTATAGACAATAAGATAAACACACATGTTCAATGCGATGATATTGAAATAATGAAGTTAGCTCAAAATAAACGAATTGAAGACTTTTCATCTTTTAAAAACGATGAGCAGCAATCAACATTAGTGAAGAACAGAAAAATTCATTCAAATAGATCTCAATTCGATAACTTTCAGTCACAAGTCTTGGCAAATATTCTAGTGGATTTCGTAGATAACATAAAACAAAAATATAATTATATATCACCAATTGATTATTTAACCATGTTCAATGATAATCGTAAACCAACATTTGAAGAATATGTAAGCAAATATATGGAGATTCAAATTGACGCTTTGCAACATATCTCAGTCGAACAATATCTCAATGTTGTTATATCTCAACAGCATATATCCGACATCTCGTTGATGAACACAGCTCAGCAAAAAAGTTATGATAGACTTTCGATCTTTAGGAAATTAGTAACTACTAATGAAAATAGATTATCAAATAACGATGTACAACAACAATCTAATAAAGAAGAGACGCGATCAATTTCGTCCTCACTGTCATCATCACCGTCTACTGCTTCATCTGTAAGAACACAACCAAGTATCAAAACATCAAATTTGCCTGAAGACAACACTTATGAATTGTTATTACAACAATGTAGTAAACGATTCCAGTGTAGAGTAAAAAAGAAGCCTGTAACATTCAGCACTATTGATCAGCTACACTATTGTACCAAGCCATACCAAGAAAAGCCTGTGAATGCATGGATGGGATGGGATGTTATGCTATTTTTCAAAGAGAAAAACCTTCTTGACATGGCATTATTGTTTCTAAATGCCGATGGAAATGAACTAATAGAAGTATTTAATTCATGCGAAACGAACGGTCTAAAAATGTATGATTATTTAAATGAAGAATTACAAAACAATTATTTCACTACATTATCCATAATAGAATACCATCGTTTCGTTAGTGAGCTTAGAAAATATATTCAGCTACTACCATTACGACCAGTTGTGAAAAATGCAAAAACATGTACAATTTTTTAGCATATCAGCTTACACAAAAAAACTGAAATAAAGGTCTTTTCTCAAACGTCTATTGTCTATATTATCAGGTAGTCAAGCCACATAAAACGATATCTATTAACGTAGATGTCAGCACTTTACAAAAAACATCTTTTACTTTGTATTAACGGAAATCGAGAAAAATAATGTCAACATAAACAGAACACAGCTGTAATACAGAAATATAACGTAATAAAACGCAGTTTTTTGTGTTGAATGTCCTGAAAAACTGTTTCTTCTTATGTTTCTCTTTCAGGGAGAACACTTTGCACTATCTAACCCATAACAAAAAGCGATATATTCTCACTTGGCCTTCGACGTACTAAACGAGTTTTCTTAACACTAGCCACAGAGATCTACCTGAAAGAAGATATTGAAATTCATTTTACTTATGAAAAGATGTGACAAAGCCTTTGACTTTCGAATGGCGAAACCTGTAAGTATCTATTAGCTTTTTTCTCGGGTTATTCAAAAACCATAATTTATTATAAGTATAAAAAGGGATAAAATGCGATATATTTAATTTTTACGCTATTTAGAGTGTGCAACTGTAAATACTATTTATTTTAAAATAATATAGACTCAACTCTGTTTTATATACACTATTCGAGTTATATCCATAGCTACGAAACAGAAAAATCAATAAAGTCAGTTTTTATTTTCAAGATTTCTAGAAATCCGGCTGAAAAAAGCATATCATTTTCCTCAAAGTTTTCTCAGTTTTAATGTTAAATCATACCTAGAAGCAATCCAAGTCAAATATTTTCTGAAGTTTTGAGGTGATTAGGATGAATTTTGAGGGAGTTATGAGCGTTTTATTATTAGATTAAAATAGTCAAAAATGGGTTATTTCACATAAAATCAATTTTCACTAGGTTCTTGAATTTTTTTCTACGTAAAAATGTTTTTCGTTGTAACAACAATTCTTTTGCTATGGCCATGTGGCATATGGCACGTAGAAAATATTTTTTGTACAAAGTTTGTTATTTTCCTGAGTTCATTTCAACCCTGCGGTCATTTCTTGTACTTAACATTTTCCACAAAAATTTAATGAAGAAAAGTTATTTCAAAAAGTAAAAGGTTTCAAAAAAATAAACGTTGTATCTTCAAAGTAACTTTTTTCCTTAAATTTGCATGAAAAGTGTTGGGTCCAAAAAATGTACAGCGTACAATTCTGGACGTCTTTCTGCTAGGGTGCACATTTGTTGATTGAACAACAGATGTTTCCCTCAATTACTTCAATCGTTCTGATGTTTTTGAGTGAATAGTGAATTTTTTAATTTTAGGTGAGAATAGCCTGAAACCCAAATATTTTCGTAGAACTTGCTTTTCGCCAGATTTTTAAAACTTTTTCTTGACATAAATATTACCACACGGCTCAACATCATTGATTACCTATAGTGCATTCGTTTTCAAGGCTACCAGTAGTCATCGGGTGACAATCCTGGGACTCGTAGGAAATCCGATGCAATGCCCGAACCGAGAACAATCAGGGTCTTGCTTGACTCCCGCTTTGAAGAGGAGGGCTATTAGGCCATGAGAAAAATCAATTCAGTCATATTAGAAAATATTCACAGACGATCTGGTTTTTCTAAGATCTCCTAGAAAATCTGTTTCGGAAAACTCTTCCGAGAAACATTTTGCTTGTAAAAACATGCCCACCCCCAGTCTTCTCTTTCGCATAGCGAAAATCAGAGCTCTCTAGCTGCGTTCTATCAAAAGTTATTAAACAAACATTCGTGTTCTTTATATTTTGCAATTCTATATTCTCCATTAGACTTTCTGCCAGACAAAAAAAATCGTTAGAAACGGCATATAAAACGTGTTTTTTCCGAACGCGTTAGCGAATGATCGTTAAAAGAGCCATTTAAACGCGTTTTTTGTTTTCAGAAGTATAGAATAACGCGTTCTTTGACAAAGCGCCTGCTAACGATCGTTAAATTCACCGTTTTCTGGCGTTTTTGTGAATGCGTTTCCTAACGACGTTAAAATGATCGTTGAAACGCGTTTAACGGTCGTTTCTAAACATGTTTATAAAACGAAAAAATTCGAAGTTATATATCATTTTAACGTCGTTAGAAAACGCGAACGCTAGAAAACGATTAATTGAACGATCGTCAGCAAACGCGTTATTCTAAAGTTTTGAACGACAAAAAAACGCGTTTAAATGGCTCGTTTAGTGATCGTTCACTAAGTCCGAGAAACGCCTTTTCAAACGAATAGATAAAAGAAAAACGCGTTTAAACGACAAAAAAGCGTTGGTTTTGAAACAGTTAACGCGCTGTTTGGTCGTTAAAAACGAAAAAGAAAACGCTTTTTTCTGTCAATCTTTTTACCCCTGGATGGTTTTTCTTTTATTAGAAATGGCACTATGAACAGATAAGAGATGGCAATGTAAAAAGAGTAAACATTAAAAAATGTTTGGTTTTTATGTTAATTTGCGGACATAAAATAGGATAAAAACAGATAGTTAATGGCAACGTGAATGAAAGTTTTGGTTAAGGATAGTTGAATGGTTGTTTATAAATTGTTCACTTCTTCAAAACGTTCACTGTGCAAGTTCATCTTCATGGATACATAAGTGTCTACGTAAGTCTGTGGAAGTTGATGTAACTCTATGTGGATCCATAAAAGTCCCTGGACTTGTAGCAACGTATGTACATTTAGATGGACTTTGACATTTTCTAGTTGGGACTTAAGTCTGCTTTTTCACTTCTCCGTCAAGTGCACACTAATCTTCTTCTATAATAGAAGATCATCATAGTCTTCAATTTTTCGTCCAAAAACGTGAACAAAAACCTCAAAAAAAAATAGTTAGTAGTGGTCTTCTATTGTGGGAGGATTCAACTCAAAAAAGAGTTTTCCTAAGTTGGTAGTGTAATTCTTTCGTATCTTATCAAAAATAAAAAGAACATTGTAGGATGCTTATACCAAACTTTCGAACCAAATAAAAAATGCTGCTGGTTTTGTCCAGAGGACAAGGCAGCAAAACAGAATCGGTAAAATCGAGTCAAAATTACGACAGGAGAATTTATCATGAGTTAAATTAAAACCTTCGAATTGAAATGATTTTAACTCAAACTATCGTAAGTTTTGTAAAAGTAAGCAGTAGACTGCAGATATGTATAAATAGTCTTTTTAATAATTTAGAATGTATGTAAATTCATATTCTACATCAATAATTTGCCGTGGTCACGTCAAACATGTAAAAAGAAATCGACAAAATCGATATTTCAATCATATTTTAGCTATGTAACATTAGAAAGTACAAACGTAAAATAATTTTCAGTTGTTATTCATTATCCAAGAACATCGTTGGTAACATGAAATCGCATATCACACAGACATACTAATTTAGATAGCGTCCTTTGTGTTTATAATTGGGATTTAGAAGTGAGACAAGACTTCGACATGGTAGTGTCAACAAAACGATTTCAAAAAGGTATACGTTTGAAAGCAAAAGACCGAAAGAATCCACTATAACAAATATCAGTAAGTTTTGAACTACTATCCAATCTGAAAAAAGAATCGTACAAAACGACTGATAACTGCAATAAAAGTTTTCAACCTGTAAGTAAAAAAATAGTTAATTAATGTCGGCGTAAAGAAACCGTTTCTGAGTCGCTTCTCGATTATTGTTAAGAATCAGTTAAATGGACTATTCTATTTTAGTTGATGCACACGACGATAATCGTATAGCAATTAATTTTGATGATTCGGGTTCAAATTTTGATTATACCGTTGAAATGCATAACGCCGATCCAGCTGGTTATTGATATATGTACAACGTGTTCTACAGTATATAAAAATGTAGTTTTGAATTAACCACATGCACATTTTACGTTTAGTCGTTTTGATCTTCCAAAATGTAAGATTTCTCTTTAACGGATGACCTAGAATAAACGTTGTCCTCTGTATTTCATCAATGTTTCACTTAGTTTTCATTGTTCAGACTTTATCTTCGTTTTTTAAATATTTTCCGTTCAATTCTCTACAAAATTGTATAGAAAGTTTTAGTTCACCACCTTCCACATCAGTTTAATAAAGTGAGGCGAAAGTGTTGCAGAAAAGCCGGTAAACCTGAAAAAAGATAATAAAAGTTCTCCGTACACAGCTTTAATCTCAGAAAATTTTCTATTGTCATTAAATCGTAGAGTTTTTTGAGGGCTACAAAATGGCTTAATTGTTTTTTTTGTGTCTCGCACGTTCAAGAGTTAAACGTAAGAAAACCGAAAAAGCCTGTGAAAAGTCTGACGTTTTGAGATTAAACCAGAGTACGCAGAACTTGCATCTTTTTTCAGATTTACCGGCTTTTTTGCAACACTTTCGCCTCACTTTATTAAACTCATGCAGTAAGATCGCGAACTGAAACTTTTTATAGAATTTTGCAGATAATTGAGAACGAGAGAACCGCCCTAAGTTGCAACCTTGCAAATTGCTTTTTCGATGAAACTAAGGGGATATAGGGAATCGATGGTGCTGATTCCGAATATAATGGTCACAGTTGCTCTTAGTCCCTCTGAGACTGAGTTTTCCAGAGTCAATAATTTCCTTCTCAAAATTCATTTCTGATCTGTTCAAGTTATAGAGCATGTCGAATTATCTATGTACAAAATTTGTTTTGATCATCGGTCATTTCCTGACCGAGTTATGGATATTTTGAAAAAAATCTATTGTAGCTGAAGAAAAGTGCACACGTGAAATAGTCTGCCTGTTGTCGTTCTTTTTCCGTTATCTGCCATATATCAGATATTTTCTTTGTTCGGTGAGTACACATGACTTGAGTGCTCACATCTACAATGCCATTTATTGCTTTCTCGAAAAGAATGTCATATTGTGTGTACACTCTGTTACAGCAGACGTTTTCAAAATGTTTATAACTCGGTCGCGAAATGATCGTTAATCAAAACGAATTTTCTACCTAGAAAGCTAAACATGCTCAATAACTTGAACAGATCAGAAATGAATGTTGAGAAAAAAATGTTGGCTGTAGAAAACCAGTTTTCTAGAAATCCAGTCCCAGAGGGGCTACGAGCAGCTGAGACTATTATATGCGGAATCACCACTATCGATTCCCCATATCCCCCTTAGTTTCATCGAAAAAGGAATTTGCAACTTAGGGCGGTTCCTTCGTTAGTTTATATTCGCTAGTTGGTGTATATCGGTGCAAAGCACACTTTTGTTTCCATTTTATATAGTATCCTGTACACGTTAAATTACTTAACATTTACCATATAATTTATGTGGTATGAATTGTGCGAAAATTTATAGTTTTTATTACTATTCTTAGCTAAATTGTTAGTACGTTGAAAGAGATTTAGGATATTAAAGTTATATTAGTTTTGACATGTATTCTTATTTCTACATTTTAATTCAAAAAATGTTATTAATACGGTTTTATAATACACGTATGCCTCTCATTTGGCACAGCAATCAACTAAATATCTTATACCCAAATGATATTGAAATAGAGAATGAGAATTGCATAATGTACGGTAAATATTAGAGAATGATGATGATTAGCTAGCTTGGCGAGGTGGTGCATATATACTAAAATCGGGACTTTTAAGAGATAGATACTAATGTATAGGTGTTCCATGTATCTCAATAAACTCGTACAATGTTCTGGGTAAACTATCGTAATAGTTTCTCTTGAGTGTTTTAACCGCTGTTGAACATATACATTTGAGATTTATTTTTCTATGCGTTTTTTAACAAGATTTCTGCTTGTGTTGTAATTGCAAACATTAGTGGTGTTTTATCATATATATTAACGGCGTCCGAATGAGCACCATTGTTGATTAGTAAGTTTATGACAGTTGCATGCTTAGTGCCTCATTCTGTTTTTATTATCTATACATTTTTAATTTTTCTACATAACAAACGAACAACAGTAATGCAACAAAAAAACCAAAGCAAGAATTTAGCATTATCATCCATCGACATCATGTTATTTGTAGTAAAAATCTCATATTCAGAGTTCTTTATCCACATGATGATAATAAAAAGTAGTTGCAAGGAAAATATAAGTCACTAAATTTATGATTTTGGCTTATTATGATTAAACATCCAGTTCACTCCATACTTATCTGTGCACATACCAAACGTTGCATTCCAAAATGTATCTTGTATTGGCATAGTTATTTTTCCTCCATTTGTAGATAATCCATCAAATGTACGTTGCATATCTTCAACATTTTTAAAATCCAATGACAATGAAAAATTATTTCCTATAATTAAATTTTTTTCTGCACATGCATCTGAACACATTAATTTTGTTCCATGAATATTCATTACAGCATGAACTATTCTATTTTTATCCGATTCGTTATCTTTCTTAACATCTCCATAACGTTGAATAGACTCAATTTGTGCACTAATTGTATCTTTATAGAAGTTCACGGCTTCTTCACAATTTCCATTGAAATACAAATAAACATTGAGACTCATATCCTTTGGTCAATTAATTAAAGCTCACCGATGTGTAGTTTATGTTGTTTCGAAATCTGTAAAAAAGAAAAGTTTTTGAAATAGATTCATCGCAAAGTTTTAAGTCATTTTATACATTATATACGAGTTCCTTCCTAATTCAGGTGAAAATTACAAAACCAAGAGATATGTTGTGAAATTTCAAGATTATCTTTATTAACAAAAACTTTTACATTCTTTTACCTTTTTACTGATATATGTCAAGGTTAAGAAACTTCTAGGCCGTACGAAAAATGCGCTATGTCACTTTCTTAGCTTAACTTTTTAATTCAGTCTATGCTCACGCTAATAGATGAAAGCACGCCAGAGTTACTAGATGACTCAAATCAATCATATAATGTGAACTTTCTGTGACTGACTAGTGCATTAAACAGACAAAACGCGACAAGGAGAGCTGTTTAGAAAGACCGAAAGCAATCTCGATCGAAAATTTGCATAAAATTCTATCGCTTATGTTTTGTTATATACTAAAGGTATTCATGATACACGAAGAAACACAATAAACTTTAAAAGAAGCTCAAGCTTAAAATAAAAAAGTATTGAAGACTACAAACCTTTGTATGAAGTCTGATCAGGAATATCACCCTTTTACGAGGACTCGACCCCTCCTTCATGGAGAAAAACTCAAAACACGGCTGGGATGTCAAAAATCGCAAAAACCATGGTTTCCCAAAAATGATCCACAACTTTTTTACAGCACAACCTAGCATTTTAAATCTTTTTTATCAGATTTCTCATCAAAAACTGAGCCAGGAAAAGTGTAGTTCAAGGATGTCCGTCGCGAACTGAAATTACGGTGGGTCCACAAGTGAAGGCATGTCAAAATAACCACTTCATTTTGCAGTATATCTCCCTGCTATAGTTAACGTTCTTCCACCGAACTGCTGTCGATTTCTGAGTGGCTAGAAAGGACATAAAAATTGCCAAAATACACCAGTCAAAAGGCGCTATAGACGGCCGCGAATACCACTTTGCTCAGAATTCTTTGCTCTATCAGACTATATCGCTTGAAAAATTTTCTGAGCAAAAACGATAAACTTGGTTTTCTAGCGGTCAGGTTTTCCAGAAACCCTATTTACAAGTTTCCTCATAAAAAGGCGATATAGATCTATAGATTGATAGAAAAGTCTCCTAGCTATGCAAAACAGTGTTCTGAATTGTTCCAGTTTTTACTGAAAAATCAAAAAGAAAGGATTTCTTAGTTGGATCGACTTTGTAGTAAATCAAATCAACGTTGGCATCTCTTATATAAGGCTTCACGGATACAAACCAAAGCATTTTCATCGTTTATGTGATAATCAAGGTCCAAGTGTGACGCTCATTCGAACGAAACAAGGATGGGTATTTAGTGGATATAGAATTATCCCGATATTATGTGGTCAGTAGAGTGGAGTAAAGCTTAATCGAATGATCAGTATATAAGCCTTATTGTAACACTTTTCTTTTCGCTAACTAGAAAAGTACAAATAACTAAAACCGCTTCTCCAGTAGCAAAATTTGTTTGGTGCTAAATATCCCAGTCGACTCCAATTCGGAGAGCGATATGAATACGAAGTTTGTTTTTGTTAAAAAGATTTGGTAAGACGGTGAACCGTGAAAAATTACTGGATTAGGTCCGAGAAGTAAAAAAGTTCACGCGTTCTCTTGTTTTTCTTGAGATTAATAACTTCGGAGAACTGTTTTTTATAGACCCATCATCGTAGATAAAAATTTCATAGGTGGTTAAAGTTCAACAGGATACTGAACCGTAAAAACGTTTTACACATGCGAAGCATTTTGTCTGCAAATTTCTTTAATTTCTTTACTTATATCATACAGATATGATAAAACAGATATAGATTTAAACATCCCCACCCCGAGAAGTAGAAGAATTTTCAGTATTTTCGGAAGTTACTTCGTCGATTTTGCCATTTCACTACCAGAATGTTGTCGGGTGGCTCACTCTTAACACTCGCTACCTCCGCTACCACCTCTGTTCTTCAAGCTTTTGCACTCTTCTAGGGAGGTTTATTTAAATCATATCTATATGATACAAATAAAGAATGATAGAAATTTTCATAATTACTGAAATTTCCCGCAGATTTCTTCGCCGAAGTGAAGATAATTTCCGAAATTTCTGGGAATCTTCGTTAACATGTATCTAAAAATTCGGAAATTTCTCGGAAATTTCTTTCTTATACAATGGTAATTACTGGACCTTGTACAAAATTTCCGTTTATGCACATGAATGTTTTGAAAGGGCATTACAGAAATTTCGGTATTTTCGGAAATTTCCTTTTTTTGGAAATCTGAACATATCTCGAAAAGATAATTTTCGAGATATGTTCAGATTAAGCGAGTTGAAATTGCATTAATTAGACAAGTTGCAAATAAGAAGATAATTTTTTTTACCATTGAATAGCTCGTTTCATGCTCTACAATATTGATTCTAGGAGTATTTCGTGTAAACATATAATCCCTGGGAGAATTAAAATTATATTGACCCCTTGAGGACGGAAAGCACATATATGTGCAAAAGTAGAGACACCCCTAAGAACCATGATAACTAGAAACTTCTAATTTTGTGTAGTCATAACTCTTACCGAATGCTGATCACCCAAGAAGTTTGGGCCTGTTTCACTAGATGGTTCGTGAGATATAAGCGGCTTATTTCTTTTCTTCAGAGGTGAGTTTGTAATCTTTCTGACAAAGGTGTCACTTATATTTTTCGGAACCATAGGTTTCTATGATTATTTTCATAGAACCATTATATCCGAATTATTCAACCATTATTATTCAAGATTATGGTGTATAATGAATTCAGATTCTACAGTAGAAAGAGCGACCATTAGTTTCTCACCCTCGTTCTTCTACGTATGTTTTAATCGTGAGTGCTCGTTCTCAATGAATTTCCTGAACCACACAACATAGCAAATCGGGCTATTTTCCAGTGGGATGGTTTGGAAAGAAACGGTATAGATATTCTGATTCGTTATTTTGCTTAGAATCCGAATCTGAATTCCGCTTTTCGGTACAACGTCTACTTTTCGAGAAATAAGCGAAAAATTGGTTTTGGGTGGAAATTCCTGCTTTTTCTCCACTTTCGCCATTTTTTTTCGCTCGGTTACATAGATGTATCTTTTTTTCTTCGAATGTTGCTTTGATCAGAGTGTTGCTAAGGAAGAAACAGAATGGAAGAGAGAATAATTTAATCTTATGTACAAGTATAATACATACATGCCGAATGTACACCGATGTTTTTTTGCTCTTATTTTCCAAGGAAAACCGAAGTTGTATCCGAAACAATAGAAAATGGAACAGATTTATACCTGTCGTTTTTTGAGAGTGACAACTATATTTGATTGCAAGAACTATATTGATTGCAATCCAAACAAACCGTCTACACACGAAGTATAAACGTGTTTTTCTATGGTTCTTTCCGGATGATGTATCTGAATTATCTAGCCACAATATAAAGATTAACTATTGAATAGTTAATCTTTATACTGTGGCTAGATAATTTTCAGACACTGTAGAATCTTAGGTGAAATTTTGAAGTCAAAATGAAGCTCCTAGACTGAGTTGTGGATTCTTTTCGCAAAGACCCTCGAATTTTCAACAAAAAAGAGCGATACCTCTCCGTAAAATAGCTGTATTTCACCGACTACCAAGAACCAGCTCACAAAATTCATATTGTAGGTAGAGTAGAGTCTTGGGTACATTTTAGGAAAAAGAAAAACTTTTCATCTCTCTCACATCAGAAGTTGTTGATATTTTACGGGAAAGAAATCAATTACTTATATCTCACGCATCATCTAGTGAAAGAGGCCCAAATTTGCTGGGTGATAAGCATTCAATAAGAGCTATGACCATACAAAATTAGAAGTTCCTAGCTATCATGGTTCTTGAGTTACAGGGGTGTTTCTAGTTTTGTACATACGTGTGGTTCCCGTCCTCAAGGGGTTAAGAAAAAAAAGTCTTTTTTGGTAACAGCGTTACGGTCTATAAGAAATTACATCCTGCCTTTAAAACCTAATCAAACATTCTGATTGTTATAGCGTAAGTAGAGTATCGGAAGCCGCATCGAGTGACGCAAAAATGAATCTTTTATTATTTTTCGTTTTAAAGAAAAGTGCAAATTAATGCGTCAAAAACGTAACAGCGTTACATTTGAACAGGTCGAGATATCTAGTCCGAAGTGTCTGCTGTACGCGACATCTTAGAAACCCATAGTTTGGGAACCATGGATGTTTTTTTCGAAGCCTTAATACTCCTCTGCCGTTCGGTTTGAGACTGTCAGCAATGAATGAAAACATAGGTTATCGACTATGCTGAATCTCACACACCTAAATCATTAACTGATTTGCATGAATTCGAAATATTCATGTGAGAGGTTACCCTACTTCTATCATTTGTAGATTTCCTACATCGAAGTGGACAAAAACGAGTAAGGAAATTTGTAATGTTATTTCCTAGATGAAACCGGAATCGGTAAGTGCTTTACGACTATGCTGAATCTCGTGGCAATGTTACTTTTCGGAACAAAATACAGCAACCGAATGAAAACCTCATAGTATGCAAACTTTCCCTTTCCTGCAAAGTCATCTAAAACAAAACATATAAAATTTGCTGCAAAGTGGAAGATTGCTAACTGCAGAACTGGATTCACAAGCAGAAAGCAAGAATACAGAAATTCAGGAAAGCAGGAATTCGCAAATTTAAGGAATGCAGGAATTCAGAAATTTAAGGACAGCAGGAATACACAAATTTAGAGCATGTAGGAAAGCAGGAATTCGCAAATTTAAGGACAGCAGGAATTCACAAATTTAGAGCAGGTAGGATAGCAGGAATTCAAGCAAAGAGTACAGCAGAACGATGTTTAGCGCAGAGGATCTATTACTGATGTTAGATCATGCTGTTTTTGTTTAAGAGTTTCATCAGGTATCTCCTGAGATGTCGTAACCTTGCTACGTCACAAATTCATTGGCAACACTCCTAATACTGAGAGAATACTTACTATAGTGATCCTTGTGTCTAAGCCATCCACACACAGCACAGTTGTGTGGAGGACTTAGAAAGATACATGATGCAACTAAAAGTCTCAAAGGAAATCGCTGATGTGTTTTCGACTATGTTCAGGGTATTTCGCCAGTTTTCCGTCCAAAAGATGCCGAAAATTCAGAACAGAAGGTCACGTTTTATATAGTAACAGCAGCTGTGTACGCTATAATATGCAAATATATTGTTTTTGCTTCACTTGTTACTCATTAAAAGCAAGAAGTCACCTTTTGATTTTAAAAGACTTATCACTATTTAGCTAAATCGAAGAGGGTGCAAAGTTCAGAGTTGTTTAGGATATGTATAGTATGATATTGAAGTGCATAGTGGGTATGGGTTTCTGAAATTTCTGACGCTCTCGATAGTTGACGTATATGCACTGTCTATTGTGGCATGAAGAAGGAGAAAGCGGAAGGGAAAAATTCTTTTAATTGTAAAGTAAGTGTGTTGTGCAGTGGAAGGAGAGATAAAAAGAAATCGTGTTCGAGGCTGTTTCGTGCATACCTGCCTGCCTATTCGTATAGTAGACTGTAGGGTGAGAAAAGAAAAACTGTTGCGTATGGTTTGATAATATGTT